CAGCCCAATTTTTTCACCCCACACATCCTCCCTTTTAATTCCCAGCCACAGACAGGACTTCAGGACCCTCCATATATTGCAAACTCGTTTGTGAACGTGAAGCCAGATTTAATCGTACCTCGTTTGTCCGAATTTCGCTTGAAAAGAAGAAAAAAGAGTAGAAGAAAAGACAAGAGTCGAAAAAAATATAAAAATCCATAGATGTCGACCAAAACTGGCCATCAAAACGCCCTGCCCAATCCCCCTGTGGAGGTGAATATTTGTATAGCTCTGTGCGTGACGCAGAGAAAAAAGAGAAAAAAACTTAGTAAAACGGGAATGTGCCGGTGAAGAAAGTAGTGAGAAAATTATCGCAAAAACTGAACAATGCCGTCTATGATTGGTTGCGCTGGCGGCTGATTTCAACGAGCAGAAGCCAAAATTCCCAAGTTGGTGAAATCTGTAGGATTTCAACTTAAGAGAAACATGCTGGGGTATCGAGGAAAGATGGTGTGATGAGGTTGCAATACTAAAAAAACGGATCCAGCTTTCGTGTGCATATAGCGAATCTGCATAAGGTTGCGGGAATATGGGTATCGTACAGCCATTAAGATGTGCCGCCTGTGCGGGTAAGAGGTCAAAAGATCGTGCGTGGCCTGTAGCATAAGGCTGGCGTGGTGATGAAGGTGACCGTATCTTTGGATCATAGGAATCCAGATTCAGCCAATACCCTATTATCCGAGGATTTTGTGTAAGCACGTTTCTTGGTTCAGGGATAGCTTGCAAGCATTTCAATTTTGCCAGCAAATCTCAAAGCATGAGATTGCTATAATATGCGGCTGGCTGCAATCTGACATACCTCACTATCTTTTCATCCTCCCGCTCACGGGGTTCTACCGCCAAACTCTTCTCGTACATTTCATGCACGTCACCTGCCGCTTGCATATTGCTCAAAATATAGTCTTGAAGTTCAGATACTGACTGAAGTGGATAAGGCACATTCTGATACTGTTGAATATCGCGAATGACTTCAGCAGTCTTGGCACGCTTTGCAAAGTTTATTAGTGTGGTTTTCTTGATGATGGATGGAATACCATCTTCGATGAATGTCAGATCCGTAAGATAAACACCTAGATGGGTAAGTATTTGTTAATTTGAATCGATGTTATCAACTGACCAAAGAAGGGTATGCAGGGTGGATTGGCGAGATGCAAGCTCTCTCTGTATTCACCAAAGTTTTTGGTGCTGCCCATAAGCCTACGCATAGATTCAAGTACAGTCAGAGTCCTGGCAGGCACCTGATCCCAAGTACGCTTGAGACGATGGATTGGTGCTGTTCCCAAGGCAGATATGATGGATGTGAGGGTGGAGTAATTATTTAGTTGACGACATTTCTGTAAAGTTTAGAGTTTTGCAAGGAAGGACATCAAGATCAAACTCACGTCGGCTACCTGAACAAAGTGCTTGATCACCGCTACACGCCTCTTGACATCCAGTTGTGTTAGAATCATCTCCGCAACCCAATTTGTCAATTGATTGGAATGAAGAATTAAGAGCTTGACATTAGGAGCGGGTTCTGGCGCTCCTTCCCCAACTTTCTTTTGCCACGTCTTGTTCAAACATTCTGTAGGCTTTATCTTGCCATATAATTTAGACTCGACCACCGTCAATTGGCGGGCAAACTCAGTAACATCAATGTCCAAAAACTTGAGCTTCTTCATATTTTTGGGCATGATTGGCTGTGGCGTAGCTTGACTCAGCGTCAGGACTAATCTCTTTGCCGTTGGATCCTGTCCTCGTAAACGTTGTTCCAACACAGTCATCAGTGGTCCTGATCCAGGAGTTTCAGTTGTCTTGACAGTGTCTTTAGCAAATGCGTAAACATCACGTATTAGAGCTTTGGTCTCGTCGCTTTGGTCTTCCATCCAAAAGTTATCAAACCAACTCTTCAGAATATTGACCACACGAAATCTTATCGGCTTCTGCTTACGATCCCTCCAAATCTCATAATCCCCTGGAGGCATGCCTTCTGGTGGCTGAATCTGGAATCGCTGAACTAAAACTTCAAAAAGTTCTCGTGCGGTGGTAAATGACCTATAGGTCAAGAGGAAAGTGTTGTTAAAGCTTGAATCAAGTTTGTCGTGCCTGGTCAATTGTTCAACTAATGCTATCAGGGTCCCACCCTTCAGTTGAGGTGGGTCAGTTTTGGTATCGTAAGAGATGTCTTGCTCGTGATCAAGTTTGAGACAGTCTGGAGGCTCATCAGAGATGCTTCCTCGAGCCTCCCGAGGAACCTCGCCAAAGAACTTGTTGATCTTTGAACCATTACCACTGAAAGATTGCCCTCCTGTCAAGCCAGGCCGCAGTGCTCGGGAGTCGCTCCGTTGGTGAGGGGGGTGGTATGCAATGCTCTGAGTTCGATCTCTGGGACGACTATCTTCCAGATTAGGGAGAGATCTGCTATCGTTCATCTGCACTTGTTCACCCAGAAGCTGAAGGGCAAATCCAATATGTGATGAAGTGGTCTCCAACTGTTTTGCAAAATGTCGAACGTTGTTCAACCGTGCTTCCAAGGGCTCTCCCCGCACTTCAGCCCATTCATCGCCCAATGGTCCAGCTACCGCTTGACAGCCAATAATTAAATCAGAGATGTTATCGTACAAGCTTTGCTTATGTGCTGCAAAGTCCACCAATTGAGGGTTTTGGAAAGCATTCCCGAGTGGCGAAAGATTGACTGATTCAATCGCCGAGATCCAAGGTTTAAATGTTTCCAGCACTTTTTTCGCTGATGAGCAAACATTATTTCCTATGAGCTCATGCTTATAAGGCGTTATGATCTTGTCAGTCACCACAAGATGTTCCTCCAACTTTCTGATGCTCACAGTTAACATGCGTTTTAATTCATCAAGGCGGTCCAATAACTTCGAATCCAGCATCGCAGAAGGTTCTTGTTGAGCTTCCTCTTCGTGGAGGAAATTGGAATTGAGGGGGTTCCGAGATCCAAGTCCATTATTATGCCAGCTGCCACCAGTCGTGCTTCCAATCACAAAACCAGGTAGAAGTCTGGGAATATCTTCCCCCCGCTGTTGCCTTGCAACTTCAACGTAGCTAAAAACACCTTGCAAGACCCCATCTGCTTCTTGAAGGCATTTTTGGTATGATTCCGCATTGGGCCAATCTGCAGCGGCAATATGTGAAGAAATGACCAATTTAGAAAACTTGGACATCATGTCTCGGAAATGGGGGTATAATGCTTTGTTGGTCGAAATGATGGACGGCTGGCCAGAGTGATTATCTGTTGTCCCCGACCCAGCGGCGAGAAGTAGCCGAAGGTGATCAGATATGTCTTCCGCACGGCGTACATACTCCGATCTATCACCATTAATGATAGATTCCCGGTATCGGTCAATTGCCCTCTTCATGTTGGCTACTAGTCTATTCCATGTCAGTGGAGCTGATGAACCGTCGTCGAAGAACGATCGAGGCAGCGTAGCAGCGAGTGGGGGACCAAGTGCGGGGTTTGTAAAAGAAGTCGCGGAGGGACCTATGGTAGGCATCGAAGTCGACATGGCTAGATTGGAATTGGTGAATGGGTCTGCGCGTGCTCGGGAGCCAGGAGAAGTGTCACTGATCGAGTCCATAGAAGCCGCTGGCGATATGCCATCGGAAGCCCTTGAACGTCTTTTTCTTGGCTGTCCTGTTATTAGCAACTGTGTTTTTTTAGGACTTAGCGAATCACTATACCATAGAGCTTTGAGACGCTAGCATCAAATTTTCTCCTTCCAATTCCGATGCAGAGTTTCCTTCCGACTCATCATCTTCATCTTGCACGTAGCCTCGTGCCATCACCTCAGGTGGCGGTCTCGTTTTCTCTGGAATGTTAACATTCATCCGATGCCGAGGTCCGTTCTCGTTGGCAGATGAAGGCGATTCTAGAGGTAGCTCCATACTACTCTCACCCGTTTCGGTATTGAAGTAGAAGAGTCTCCCATCAGGAGTAGCCTGTGGAATCCAGAAATCGGCTCTCGTGTGTTCATTGCTCATCCCGTTGGCGGTTCCTTCCATCGGCAGGTGGGATTGATCGTCCCGTTCCGAATCGCCTTCGCCTTCTTCGTCGTCATATTGATCACCGTAATCCTCTGATTCTTCGTCCTCTAGCCCTTCATCATCCGTGTTCCCTCTCGAACCATTTTGGTGGCCTTCCAACGAGTCATCTGGGTTCGCAATCACTTGACAATAATTGCTGGGAAACCAGCCTCGAACTCCATTAATCACTCCATCCCACCAACCACTTTCCAACTGTGTAATAACCTGTATCACGTCTCCTTCATGGAAGCTCAAGCTTGTACGATCATCGGCCTCGTAGTCATAAAGCGCCCGCACGTACATCACCGGCTGCGGCGCGTTTCCCAAAAGCCCGTTCATCACAGGCGGTGATCTGCGCCTTACCGAAACTCTAGATCTTTGTCTTGGTGCGGAAGGGTCGTGAGCGGAGGTTGAAGAGGAGTCGTTTTGTGTTCGGAGGGGCGATGGAGATTGTCGCGGACTGTTCTCGGTGTATTGTACGACTGATTCGGGGATATGACTCGATATGGGAGTGTAGTTGCTGTCGAATGTTTGCGTATGCGTATGCGTATGCGTATGCGTCTGGTCAGGAAATATGCCGTTAGCTCGGATTGTCATGAGCATCGTGATGTTGGTCAGTCACGCACAGCTGCCTCAATTCATGGTGGCAGCGAATTCGATGCTCTCGCGGTGTCGGGTGGTGGTGGTGGTAGTGGTAGTGGTGATGATGGTTGAGGACGGGGATGTTGGATGTGCAGGTGGATGGATGTGATTGGGATTGAGGTCGAGGCCGGTCGTCAATCCATCCAAGCCGTGGGTAGTTTTAGTAGAGTCGTAGTGTAGGCAGTGAAGCGGAGCGGTTCGCGTGCGAGGGAGGAAGAAGGACGGTATTGGTACGGGTGCAGCAGTTGGTGCTGTAGGATATGGTAGAAGTACGAAGGCTGGATAGGGTATCGCTGGGTAGGGTAGGGCAGGTAGGGTAGGGCAAAGTATGGTATGGAGGGGCAGGATAAAAGAACAAGAATGGTAGTGGTAGCAGTGGTAGTGGTAGTGGTCTCTCTGCTATATTGGGACTTTCCCCTAGAGATTACGATGTGACTGGTTCGCTGCGAGGGAGTGGTGGGAGTTTGGCGGGTATGAGCCACGGGCGCTTGTCATTCGCTGGTTTTGGCGTCAGCGTTACGGTCGTGCGATGAGAAAGGTCGCCGTGCGTGCAGTGCGTGAAAAGGAGTTGCAGTTGTTGAGGGTTGGGGATTGAGGATTGGGGATTGGGAATCTGACGATGGGGGGATCTGACGATAATGGGAGCACCAGAGGAGGAGCAGGAGGAGGAGGAGGAGGGGAATAGGTCAGACAGAGACTGGGCTGATGGATTGCTTGCGAGGATCGAGGGTACGGAACAGTAGGCGAGTTCGCCCGGGGGGGGGGGGGGGGGGG